GCAGAGCAGGCATGAAGAAAACATTTGTTTCTCTTCTCTGCTTGGCTGTCAGGTGTTTGGGAGCTGGCCAGGAGGAAAGATAGTGCCACAGGAAACCGCAAACCCGGTGTCAGCTGCCTGGATGTCACAGGTTATACAGACTTCTGGGGTGACACTTTTCTCCAGCATCAAGCAGAGTGGCAAGGACCCCATCCCACATATGGTGGAAGCCAGCGTGCCCCTCCCCATAAGGAGCTTACTTGTCTCCTAGTCACCTCTTTTTTCAGATTTCTTGCTTCCACTGCACTCTTGAGCTACCGTGTATCTTGCCTCCTAGAACTGCTCCATTCTCCCCACTGTTTTGTCCCAGGCTGGACACTGCCCTAAATCCTTCATTTTCTCCAAAGCACAACATGAAGCAGTGGCGTAGAACAGTGTTTGGAGCAATGGAGCGGTTACAGGAACAACGGGAACAACAGACCTCATTGGTGTGAAAGCCCATCAATTACTGCCACCTGGGGAAATTTCCCGCTGGCCGTTCCATCCTTTGGGCCCATCTTGATGCTGTTTCTCAGGTGCATCCTTCTCCTCTCTCCAGGCCTTTCTTCCCTTTGTAGGGACCAGTCTTCTCCGGATTTTGATTTCTTTCTCATGCATAGCATCTAGCTCTCCATCCCTTGCTCCCAACTAAGCTCACGTCTACCTTTGCAGATCTACCAGCTCACCAAGGTGCTTTGCTAAGCAGAGATCTCTGACTTCGGGGTTCTGCCCTTAAGCTGCATGAAGACCTGACAGAAGCTTTGCAATCGCATGATCAAAGTTATAACTAGGACACTTGTTCCCCACAATCTCTGTAAGAGAGAGGAGGACAGTATATTGGTTAGGATAGGATATCGGTGCAGCTCGATGTCAGAGACCCACAATAACAGTGGCTAAAAGAATCGAATCTTAGCTTCTCCACACGTAGACGTCTGAGCTGGACTTGGGACTCTGCTACCTGGAGTCATCCTCAGGGATGCAGGTTCCTTCTATCTGATTGCTCTGCTGTCCCTAAGGTGTTGTCTTCATCACCTGGTTCCAGATGGTGCATGGCTACCTTCCATTCCACCCAGCAAGAAGGAGTAGAAAGCCAGGGGAAGCCGTTTTCTTCTAGGGCATAATATGGAAGTCACTTACACCATGTGCCCTCACATCTATTGGCCAAAACATTATCACATGCCTGCAAGAGAGGCTGTGAAACAGTCTTTATTTCAAGTGACCGTGTGCCCAGCTGAAAACTGGGGCTACTCCAGAACTTCACTGCTCAATACTGGTAGCCACTACCCCCATGTGGCTATTTAAATCTAAAAGAATCAAATAAAATGTCCAATTCAGTTCTTCAGTCAGCCTAGCCACACTTCAAATGCTCAACAGCCACATGTAGCTCATGGTGACGGCATTGCACAGGGTGGATATAGAACATTTTCATCATCACAGAAGGTTCTACCGGACAGTGCTACTAGAAGAGAAAGGGGCACGATTGGCAGTCACTGTCACCAGCAGTATAAAGATTTACTCTGCCCCTTTCAAGAGTAAGTCCCTTGGGGTTGGGGACTTTGTCCAGTACGGCTCTGTGCTGTGGTTGCCCCCTCGTTTGAGCATGCCCTGCAGCTAGCTGTTCACCCTGCAGTATCCTTGGATCTAACACAGGCCTGGCACAAGTAGACAGTCACGAGATGTCGCTTCCCTATGTGCCCCCTACCCGCCATGCCCTCATCCACACTCACGGTTCCCCTCCCCTCTATGGAACTTAGTTACAAAGTCCTGTGCCACCACCCTGATGGGGAGACATCATTAATCACTTCCCCATAACAGAGGAGATGAGACTTGGCCAAGGTGAGGGAGTGAAGTGTCTGCCAGGGTGAGGGCTCCAGCTCTCTCTCCCTCCACTCATCAGCGTCTGCTTTGATGCAAGGGAAAGCCTGACAGTGACAGATGACCACATTCTCAAGGCTTTTTAAGAATTCATGGAAAGAAAATAACCCCACTTACTTCCAGAAGAGAGGGAGGTTATTCTGACTAACTTGGCCCTCAGCCTTCAGGTACGTTTGTCTTGGACAATATTTGCTGGGAACCTCGTGGGCCACCTGAGAATCCATGCCAGGTCTTTATGCTGAAGAACTGCTGGACCCTCAGAGCCAGGGCACTTTGTCCCTTGACCCTTTGCTTCTAGGTGCTCTGTGACATTATATCCCCTTTCTCTAGACCAGGAATTTACATGCTATGACATTCCAGAGCCCCTGTATGGTAAAGGGGTGAGGGAGGAGGCCAAGGGTGTTTGAAAGTTTCAGCCTTAGTCCCTCAGGTCAAACATCTGTGTTTCGGCTCTTGGGAGAGAGGGAGGAAGCGTGAAATCGCTAATTCTTAAACTTTGTGGGGTCACATTACCCGTATGAAAATTCGAGACTGTCTCCTCAGAAAAACGCATGTACACACCAAAATCCACAAACATCTTGGAAAGTTCACGGACCAACTTAATTAAATTGTGTTATCATTTGGCTTGAAGTCCCAAATGGTCACTGTGGTTTCTTAACGTTTTATGAGAGAGCATTATCAAGCTTAAAGAAGTCCTCCAAGGCCCTAAGCTCATTAAGGGCCAGGCTTAATAGAGGCCAGTCGTAGACTGATGTCACAGCTTGTAGGCTCCATTTTCTTTCTTTTTTTTTTTTTTTTTGGATTTCTTTGTTTCTGGGAATATGAGGAACTCCTACTCTAGAATGATGCCCCAGGGATAAAAGCAGCCACATCCACCAGGGCTGAGAAAATACCCGAAGGTTCAGCCAGGAGCACAAATTACCCAGATTGGAAGATAGGGAAATGAAAATGCATGAGGCTCAACGGCACAAACTTTCAAACGAGAAAATAAAATTCCTGATTTGAAATCTCCTTGGGGAGCAGAGTTCTTTGCTCTCTGATGGGAACAAAAGGTTACTGCCTTGCATAGTGGATGTTTTCTCCTTAGAGCGTGGGCGGCTTGTTGAGAGGCTTCCTGAGGCCTCTTGGCTCAAGTGCAGGGAGCGAAGCGTGAGTGGAAGGTGGAGTGAAGCGTGGAGGGGCCACACATGCAGAGACTGGATTATTAGGATGTGTGCTGTCACGTGAGGCTGCCATCTATGACACTCTTAACCCTTTCTGCTTTGCCCAGAGCTGCAGCTCCCGGGGCAGCTGGTGTTCATTGCCTCAGAAGCTCTGCCCCTTAAATCAGTGGTTCTCAGCCCTAGCTGCGCATTAGGACCCCCTGGAGAACTTTAAAACTACTGCTGCCCGGACACCGCCATTTGACTGGTCTGGCATGGGTCCCAAGAGTCCCTGGAAATAAAAGCTCCCCGGGTGATTCCAATGCACACCTAGGGCAGAGAATCATCACTTTAAAGTGTTGCTTGAAACTATCAAAAGTTTTCTGAGGAGCTGTAGAGAATTAAGAAACTTAATAATCAGAGAAAAGCTAAAAGGACTGTTCCTTTAACAAACATGACTGCCTTAGAGATGGGAAAACCATGTCATCAGAGAAGGTTGACCAGGAAAATGGGCTTGTAGGTCTGACATTTGTCCTCCTTTCAGTCCTTAAATAACAGATTCTGATCAGCTTCAGTAATGAAACTGAAGTTCTGTTAAATACTTAATAAGATGAGAGTTTCCAGAGAGAATTAATTAAGAATGAGTTTAATACTATTCCAATTAGGTGTGGGCTAAATAATGCACTGCATGATAATTCAAACCAGAGATCAAGTAGGCTGTGGGAGTCCCTCTGGTCAGGGAGGGGGTTACTGACAGCTCAAGGGTGGGGAAGTTTGGCTGTGCACATTACTTGGCAATAAAATCTAGTGAATTTGCACTTTGACAGGGTTTAATACTATTCCAACGAGGCTAAATGTCACTATTCTTCCAACTAGATTATTCTTGTTTTTAGGAAGCAGATAGAAGATTAAGGGTGACCCCTGGGGACTGTTCAGTCATATGTCAGAGCAATCAGTAAGTTGGAGGTTTTAGTTTGGGTTCCCACAGACTTGTGCTCCAAAACAAGGATTCCAGGACAAGTAGTTCATTTGGAAGGTGATCCCAGGAAACATTGGAAGGGCAATGGAGAAGGGATACAGGGAAGGAAAGAAAGGCTCTAAAGGATATGTAATTAGGTAGTTACCACTGAGGGCAACATGCAAACATGCCTCGGTCACCCCAACTGAGATGCAAGGCAACTGGGCTTGTTATCCACCAAGTCCCTATCCACCATGGGTTGAGGGCTACTTCTAGAACATTAACTCTCCTCTTCTGGCTCCCAGGCCTCATGTGCTCCCCTGGCCAGACAAAGGCTCTCAGAGACAGAGTGGCAGGTATGCGAAATAAGCAGCCTTTGGTGTGTAGAGATAATATGGGCAAGGCACTGACAGTGTCTGCTGCAGTGGATGAATACTGAGAATAAGGCTGTTATTCATCCATCGATCCATCCAATAGAATCATAATCAAATGGTAGACATATACAATTCAGAATAAGGGCTGGTCACATAAACTCTTACAGATTTCTGTACAGTGGTCTTGCGGAGAAGAACCAGGAGGGTACACCAGTCCACCACATTTCTTTTCAACTGCCTGCCAGTCTCCCAGCCCACCTGATCATTAAATCCAGGAAGAATTGTTTCCTCTGACTCTCCAAACATCTGGTGTGCTTAAAACTTCTTCCTTCTATCACCCACTCCCATTCCAATGCTCAAAACTCAATGACAGGTTAGCAGGTGGGATACCATTAGATCTGGCCCATCAGAGATAAAGGGAGAAAAGTCACTTGGTAAGAGCCACCGACACTAAAGGAGATGAGAATTGCCTGACTGAGCTGGGGCTGGGTCCCCTGACCTTCTTGCCATTATTAACTGCTCTGCTCCTGTCAAAGCAGCCTTTTGCCGTCACCTCCAGACGCAACTAAAAGCATGAATTCTTTAACAGCTATCTGATATTTCTTTCTACTAACTGAGTAAAGAGATTCTTACCAGTAAGAAGCCAGAAGTGAGCCAGAATCCAGGGTCATTGCAGGCAGAGGGGAGGAACCATCTCGGGTGAGTGAAATTCAAATGCAGTCATTTTATCCTTTAACAGAGCCAAACAGAAACACCTACTAAATCTTCAGGCTTTAAAAAGTAACGAATGCTGTGCAAAGTCAAATAATCTCACTCCATCCCTGGCCTTCCTTTCTGCAGGGCAGGGTTTGGGGTGAGGCAGGGGATAGGGAAGGATGCAGTGGAGGAAAGTGAGGGCCAAGAAAGGGGGAGCTTAAAGGGGGAAGGGCTGACACTACCTGGCACAGAGAACCAGGCTCCTGTGTTTGCTCTGCTCATCTCAGGTGCCATCAGTCAGACAGACAGCAATTGCCCCTTCTCTGAGAGTTCGCTCATATCTTAATGGTCCGCCTCTCAAACTCTCTGCTCCATCCCTTAAAGGTAACAACACACTGTTGTGTGGGGGACAATGAGGACCTTTGAACCATACTTTCTTACTTCAGAATGCCCAGAAAAATGTCAATTAAATTTCTAGGGCTTTAAAAAATACTTTCTATTAAAGACATACATTAAATACATTACGCTTCCTCCCAACTTATGATTTTTTTAGAGACAAAACTAATGTAGCCCTAGAGTCTTACCCAGTTCTGGCAGACTTTAAAAATTCTCTTTATGGCCTTTTCTGGTTATAAAAATAATTCACCTCATAAAAATTCAAACCAAACAGAGATCAAGAAGACTGTGGGAGTCCCTCAGGGTCAGGGTTGGGGGTTATGAACAGCACAAAGCCGGGAGTGTCTGCTGTGTGTGTCACTTGGCAATAAAACCTCGAGACTTTGCACTTTGACGGGGCACTAATGTCAAAATGGCTTCATCACACAGGCCTCTTTCAAACGTCCCGCCTCCTGGGGATGGTGAGGTGGAGGCAGCAGGCTGCTGGCCCGTCCTACTATACAAATCATGTCTTCTATTAAAGACATACATGGAACACGGTTCCACACGTGTTCGCTGAGTCCCCAGCAACGAGAAGGCATTGATGAGCAGGGCAGACAGGAGACAGATTTCTCCAAGATCTCGCCTCTCCACGGCCGGTGGTGAAGGGAGATAGACCTAAATAAAATAGCCACACTCTTCACGCACAATTGTAATCAGTGACAAGAAGTGCTGAGGAAAGGAACTTGGTTCTAAGAGAACATGTAACAGAGGACTCTGCCCTAGATGGGGGTTAAGGAAGACTCCCCTGACGAAATAATGCTGAGATTAGAAGGAGGCGACGTTAACTAGAGGAAGGGGTGGGGCAGTAGGATGGGGAGCCCTAGGCATTGCAGATGGCAGCAGTGCAAAAGCCCTGTGGTAGGAGAGGATCTCTGCATTTCTAGGGACTGAAGGAAGGCTTGTGAGGAAGAAAGTGGTGGATAATGCAGTGGAATCAGGCAGTGTTTGTCAGTCAGGCTAGGGGTCTGCGAAAACTCAGGAGGGTTTAAGCAGGATTTGCGAGCATGTGGGTCAGTGGGGGATAGAGGCATGCTCACGCTAGTTGCAGTCGGAAAGTGGACGGGGCAGGGCAAGAGAAGTGGCAGCGTTGTTGATGGGTGTAACCCCAGCTGGTGGGCTATTGCAGTTCTCCTGGCCGAAGCAGCCGGACATATAGCAGCCTCCAAACCCTCTTATAGCCAGAAACACAGCATTATTGCTTCTGCGACTGGCTTCCAGACACCAGTCCACCTCGCCAGCCCAACTGCATCAGCTCCCCCGAGGGAGCTTCCTGAGCTCCTGTAACATATCGATTCTTATTTAGTAGGTGTCAGGAAGGCCTGGGAATCTGGAGTTTTAAAGCTCCTCCAGGTGACTCAGATGTGCGTCCACATTTTTTCAAGTTTTCTCCGCAAAGATTTGCTTGGGAAGATGGTGTTGAACCCTGAACTGAGCACTGGATGCTAGTTCAATTCCACCACTCCTAACAGTGTGACCTCAAACAAACGGCTTCACCTCATGAATCTCAATTTCACCATCTATAAAATGGGGGTGATCATTTTCTTCTTGTGTGCCTGGTGGGTAAGGGGTGTTTTGAGGATCTAATGAGATGATGAATTTGAAAGCATAACACAAATACCTGATACTCCCTACCTGCCAACAAACAATAGTTTTCAGTGTGGAAAAGGCATTCCGATTTTATTACTTGGTGCTTTGGCCCTTTTTTTCTCTGGCTACCTTGTGTAAGGGAGGGCTGTCTAATGGTGCTTCGTTCCAAATGCCCCCTCCCAATTCACTGAGGAGCGGGTGCATCTCCCTCCCCCTTCCTTAAGGATCTGCCCTCCTTCTAGGCAATGGCCACTGTGTCCCCTTTCACATGCTCATACGCTCGTCCCTGCAGCAGCCAGTATTGCTGTTCCCACTGCCTTTGCCTGCACATCAGCTAACGGTTGCTACATGCCAGGCACTGAACTAAACTCTGTACACATATTATTAAAAATTGTCCCTATCACCCCCTTTAAAAGACGAGGAAACTGAGCTGTAAAGAGGTCAAGTAATTTACCGAAGGTCGTGTGGCCAGGAAAGCAAGGAGCTGTTTGAACCGATTAAACAAGCTGTTGTACCATCATTTGTAGGAGGGGTCTGACCATTAGGCTCAAACGTCACCTTTGCCTTTCTTCCAGAGGAATAGAACGCTATCAGGCAATGGTGACTCCTGGGGTGAGCGTAGAACCAACCTTGAGCCTCATTAAGCAATGGAAATGCTCATAAGGTTGTGAGCCCCCTGGGGGCAAGGACACCCTCGTTCATCTTTGTGTGAATGGCACAAAGCAGGTGTTTGGTAAAGTTTGTTGATGAATGAAGCATTGGCAAGATGACTGTGGGGGAAGAAAAGCATTTATCAGTGTACTGCTAGCTTCCAACACTTCGTGTTGAATCTGGAACAATAACAATGTTAACTTAAAAGGTAAGTGGTGCTTCACAGTTTACACGATGTAGCAACATAATATTTATCCCGTGAGATGATTTTTATCCCCATTAGAAAGAAGACAAAAGTGAGGCTCGGGAGGTTAAATGACTTGCAAGGCTACAGTGTGAATTGCTGCAGAGAACACCAGCATGGAAGTCAGACAGACGGATTATAGCCTCGATTGCCCTAGTTACCATGTGGCTATGTGGCACTGAACTATGTATTCATGCCCTAGAATCCCCACATTACTCATAGGTAAAATGGAGATGTTTATAGCATCATTTACATAGTATTTTCTTGAAGATTAAATGCGATCATGCATAAAAGCACCAGGCACATAGTAAGTGTTCAGTAAAACTAGCTCTTGCTAGTGGAGATAGAACTGGTGAACTCTGGTCATCTGACTTCAGTTGAATGTTCTTTGCCCCAGATTTGAAGTCTGTGGCCAGTATGTTTATATTGAACAAATACATGGCAGAATATTATAGAGAATTTATGAAAATATTTACCAAAAGAGTTGGCATTTGCATTGATGAAAACCAAAGTAGTAGGACCCTCAGGTCTGACCAGTGCTGGGTGTCTTTGACAAACTTGGGTCCTTATTTTGAAACTAAAAAAGATGGTCCCCTCTGCTCATAACTATAGTGGCCAGCACAGTGACCCTGGCTCATCGTTACCAACTAATTTCAGTAGTTACATGAGGCATCACTTGAGAATGGAATATCATTCATTCATTCAACAGTCATTTATTGGGCACCTATTGTGTGCCAGCTACTGTGCTGGGAGTCAGGATGCGATGGTGAACATAAGAGGCCAAGTCTGCAACTGCATGAAGTTCACAGTCTAGTACGAACACTGGAGAGGTTGCTCTTAGCCCTGGAGAATCTTGGGACCCAAAGAGCCACACCCCTGGTGGAACACAGGACCTCTCAAGCAGGCGGTGACCAGGGTATGTTATGATCCATTTTCTCTTAGTGGTAAAGCTGTGAGCAAGTCTCAAAGCCTTTCTTCTTGGAGGAAGCACAGGTAAGAACTGGTTATAGAAATAAAGCAGAGAGGAGAGGGTCTTCTTTGAGTGGGGTCCCAGGACCCATGAAAACCTCTCCTGATGGCATATATCCTGTGGCTGGAGAGAAAATCCCATGCCTTATTCTGATCTAATCTGACTGTCCTTTTAAATGTTATCGCAAAGGATGTGTATTCTTGACTGGATGGGACAGGGAAGGAAGCCCCTTTGATCTTCCATGATGAGACTTACTTCCCTTCAATGTAGATTCACAGAGAGCTGGTAGCTTCGTAGAGAGATTTAAGTTATCCAGAATTAACAACTGGAAACATAAGCAACATTTATTGTCTTAGCCTCTTAGCTACTGATATAGAGACAACCAGAGTTAAAACATTGGTTTACAGGTTCTCTTCCTAAGCAATGTGTTTATTTCCAAAGAAAATGTGTTCTCATTTCCAGACCATATTTTCTGAGTGTCCCAAGCCCAGCACTGGAGCTGGCAGAAAGGACCTAGCTACAATTTGTGTTGTGCCTTTTCATTTGTATGAAAGGCAGGGACTTCCCTGGTGGCGCGTGGTTAAGACTCCATGCTCCCAATGCAGGGGGTCCAGGTTGGATCCCAGGTCAGGGAACTAGATCCCACATGCATGCCTCAACTAAGAGTTCGCATGCCACAACTAAGGAGTGGGTGAGCCGCAACTAAGGAGCCAGACTGCCACAACTAAGACCCAGCACAGCCAAATAAATAAATATTAAAAAAAAAAGAAAGAAAAAAGAAAGGCAAATGTCTTATATAGGACCTGCCTCATAGAATCAGCTTGGGAATCAAATGAGATCATGTATGTAAAACACTTAACTCAGTGCCTGGAATGTTATAAGACATAACTATTTGTAGTGGATCTCTGATGTTGGTCTGCCTGACACCCATCTCTCCTTTGGGGAACAGTCCCCCTCCCATTTCATATGGCCTTGGTAGGCGTGGAACCCAGACTGGGCTGATCGTGGTACCCCTTCTCCCACCTGTGGCAGGAGAGAGTTAGGCCAACATGCAAAAAATGTGCAGAAATGAAAGTTGGGTGGACAGAGAGAGGGTCCTGGCATACTTGGGACCAGTTTTGGTCCCTAAATCCGGGTTCCTATGCAATAGCTCCTTATTCAATTCCATGAGCTTCCCTGAGTCAAGACACAAAGGTGAGCAAAAAGTTCCCCTTTTGCTTAAGTTGGGTTTCTATAACAAACTGTTAGGATCATGAGGTTGTGAGGGCATGAAGCTGTAAGCCCGAACGACAGGAGGATGGGGTGAGGCACCGCCCTTTCAGGTGCCCACAACTGAGAACTGAGAATGTTCTTGGTACATTCCCTGGGTCTTAGTCACTGATGTTTCAGCAGGCTGCAGAAAGTCTCCTTTCATCTGCCTCTCACCTGTCCTGGATGAGTCACATCACTTGACTCACCACCGAAAGTCACCCTTCCCTTCCGAGTCTCAGAGACAACAAGTAAGGCGAGAACTTGAACTGTGTCTTAGTGATGGGGACCCCTCACCTGTTTAGATGAGGAAGGATATCCAGTGGTCTCTGTAGGTCAGTCACAGCCCAGGCCAGGGGCTGGAAGAAAAGCAAAGTGGGCATAATGAGCAGTGACATTTAAACTGGAAAACAGATATTAATAGTAGGGCACTTTCTGTGTTTTAGTCACCTTTGGATCCCCGGTGGGAGTGCAGTATCAGGTACTTTATTAAGTTCCCTATTAAGGTCTCAGTAAGCGGAAGGAATTTGAGCACACAAGGAACATGTCTTTAGTTCACTCCGGTTATAAGGCCACATTGCACAAGGCCCTTAAGGGGTGAGTTGAAAAGGCTTGAGACCTGCCTCCTGCCTTTAAGGAGCTCCATCGGAGTGAGGGAGGTGAGGAAATTGATGCACTGGGGAAGTCAGTGTATCGTGGAAGATAAGGTTCCAAGTCCACGGGGTGGCGCTCTCTACTGAGAGGTTGGAAAGGCCGGGAGAGTGGGGTTTCTGCTGGCATCAGAGGGTGAGTGGGATTCCAAAACGTGGAGAATGAAGCAGAAGATCGGGCAGATGTGGGTCAAGGGAAGCAGGCGCTGTAGACCTGCAAGGTCAGGGAGATACAGCTGAACAGATAAAATAAGAAGTGTCCTGGAGGGCGTAGGGGTCTGTAGCATTAGGAGGTGTGGAAGGGTCAAGGAGCAGTTTCTGCTCGCCTATTCAATTTTGTTGACAAGGTAGCATTTGACCTTGACCAACTGGAGGGATGCAGGGGGGAGGGGTGCCCTTAGTGGCAATGGAGAGGTGTGGGCAAAGTGTGGTTCCTGACATGCAGCACCTGCAGCATCCAGGAACTTGTTAGTAAGGCAAATCCTCCACCCCACCCCACATCTGCTGATTCAAAAACCCCAGGGGTGCGCCCCTGCTGGGTGTGTTTTAACAAGCCCTCCAGGTGACTCTGATGTCTGGCCTAGTGCGGTCAGCATGCAGAGAATGTCTGAGGGGGCCAGGCAGGCAAGGTAGGCTGGCGTCTGATTGCAGGATCCTAAATACCAGATTCTAGAATTAGGGCATTTTCCCTGTACCATTGAGAAGCTACTAAAAGTTTGTGACCATGAGTCATTTATTCACTCATTCATCCAGCCAATATTTACTGTGCACCTTCCATGTGCCAGGCCCCATACTGGGCACTGGGACCCAACAGAAAACACGCCCATGTTACTTCAGGCCAGTGTTTTAAGTGCGAGCTTATCTGTAGACGAGATTGCTATTGCCTGTCTTTTTTTAAAATCTGATTTACTAATGGAACAAACACCTATTACGCTCTCCAGAAACAACTCTGCTGCTTGTCTCTGCCAACAGAAGTTGTTTGGTTAAACATTTACTAAAGTTTCAAACACTAGTGATGGGAACTGATGGAGAGAAAACAGCTTTCAGATATAAAATAAATAAGTCCTGGGGATGTCATGCACGGTGCGGTGACCATAGTTAGTAATGCTGTGTTGTATATTTGAAAGTTGCTAAGAGAATAGATCTTAAAAGTTCTCATCACAAGAAAAAAATTGTAACTATGTGAGGTGAAGGAAGTTACCTAGACTTATTGTAGTGATCATTTCACAATATATACACATATCGAATCACTATGTTGCACACTTAAAACTAATACACTATTACATATCAATTATATCTCATTTAATTTTTTGTTTTAAATAAAGGGGTGGGGTCAGTGGGAGGAAGCATTTTCCTTCAGTCTGTGCTTCCTGCCAGAGAGCTGCATTTTACTGAGTTCTCAGATGGACCTGCAGCCTTGGACTTTTGGACTGTGAGGGCCAATTAGCTCCAGGTGTTTCAGGAAGCTGTGTGCCCAGAGGGTGGGGCGGCGAGGGGAGGGGAAGAGAACGAAGGCGGCAGCTGTTGGGGACTCGGTCCTGTTCTCCCACATCAATTCTGCTGGTTGCTCTCGAGGAAACTGGAGCTTGATTTCAAAGGCAAACAGGTGTTTTCATCTGAGTTCAATGAAACAGCTAATGTGCTCTTCTGGAAGGTCAGATATCCTCCGGACAACTTTCAGTCCTCTTTACTGTTTGGACAAGGGCCAAAGTGGGGGTGAGGATGGGAGGTTGGAGCGCCTCTGGGGTCCCGGTCTCAGGCCACAAGGCTCCTATCGCTTCCCACCCGGCTGACTGAGCCTGGTGGGCATGGCCCTCCGCTCGGAAGAAACCAGCTAAGGCGAGCGGTGGTCGCACCAGGTGGCAGGGGACAGGATTTGGAGGTGTCCCAGGGCTATTCCAGTTTGAGCTTAGGCTCTCTGGCCTCTAAGAAAACAGAGACGGCTTTCTGATCTTCCCTAAACCCTCCGTCTCCTGAGTCAGCACCCTTGTCAGGACCTCGGAAAGATTCCAATTCCTCTCCTACCCCAATAAAGCAATAATCGTTCACTCCTTCCACTGAGCCGTCCTCAGTTCGCTCCAGATCAGAGGAAAGGACCAGGAGAGAGAAGCTGAGAAATTTGTGTCCAGCGTTGCCAATGCCACCAGCCCTACGTCCAGTTTCCTTGTCCCATGTGTGATAATACAACAGCAGCTTGATGCAAGGCCCCCTCCTCATTTGCTTCCTGGGGATTGTTTATTGGAGACCAGCATTTCAGAGAGCGAGCGCCAACTTTAACATATCCGTAGGCAGTGCACTGTCAACCCCACGGTAGATCTTTTTTTTAAGTAATTACATTACAGAGGGGTGGGTGGCAGGGAGGAGAGTGGGTATTATAGCTGTGGGAATTTTTTTTAAAGACCCAGTTTAAAAAAATCTCAGACTTAATTTAGTAAATTTCAATTACAAGGAGAGTTACTAAGCTGAAAATCATTTGCATCGTATCCTTAATTACCACTTCATTTGTACCTGAGATCATCAATAGAGATTCTTGGGAATGCGTAGTCAGAATAAGTGGTGGATTCTAATGAGGTCTTTGTTCTTCCTGAGTCTCTCTTAGGAAGCTCTTTCCTCCCTCTGTGCAAGAGGCACAGCGTTTTCCAAACTGGGTGGAGACGCCTTAAATTAGAAGTGGAGTGTGTGAAGAAATCGAGAAGTTTTCAAGCTGGCTTCACCAGGGGGAGAGAGGATGCCACACCCCACCTCCGGCTCTCTCACAGCTCCTCCTCAGGGTTTTATTCCTCTCCCCTTGAATGCATTAGTTCTGCTGGGCTGCTGTGGACGCATTTGCTCCTGTGCTGGCCACAAACGTCCATCTTTATTAGCCGGCAACAGAGCAAATAGCCTTTCTGGGCCTTCCTCTTGCAAATAATGGATGTGCTGCCATCGATCTTCCTGCTTCCGTGTTTCCTGCTTCCTCTAAAGAAAGCACATCCAGCAGTCCCTGGCCACTGGGTCTTTATTGGAAAAGCTGTTTTCCAAGATCAGTTAGCTCTAAAAAAGTGATGAGCCCTCAGAGACTGCGAGAATGTGTGTGTGTGTGTGTGTGTGTGCGCGCGTCTGTGTTAAGATACACTTTGTAAGAGACGTCTCTCTTTTTGGATGGCGGGGTAGGGGGGCAGTAAGGAAAGGGCCAAGCGAATAAAAATCTCTTAACTAAATCCTGCTAATGCCCACTGTTCGTTCCTTCATATGCTACCCCCGACCCTGCAGCCTTTATAAAGCACTTGTTCATCTATTACCTTGTAGGTAATTTAAAAATTGCCCTCATTCTACAAATGAGGAAACTGAGGTTCAGAGAGGTTAAGCAACTTGCCCAAAGTCACTCAGCTGGGGGTGACAGACTGAGGATTTAAGTCCAGCTCTCTTAATCCTGTGCTCCTTCCAATACCCCAAACCACCTCTCACGGGCTGCCGGCAGCCTGGACATTGACCCCATTTGGGGAGGTCGGCGTTTGTATCCTGCTACAGTGTGTTACCCATTTAAACTTTATTTCTGAATCTGTATATTTAAGCAACAATTTTGTTTCAGAGGACTCCAGAGAGTGGCCTTACTTAACCTTCCTCTGGAGGGTGTGTGTATTTGGTGGAGAGTGGTGAAGGGGGTGGGGGAGGAGGGGAAGGGAGGAGCCAGCAGGGAATTTTCTCAGTTTTCCACTGGATGAGGCCAAGACCCAGGGAGGCAGACAAATCCACGATTCTCCTGGCAATCTGAACGTTTGCCAAATCCCTGCTCTTTGCTCTCATTATTCCTCTGGGCTGGTTCCAAGTGTGGAGTGTAGTCTGCGGAAGTGTTTGTGTTGGGGTTAGAGGCAGCAGGACTGATGCTGTGAGGAAGGAGGGGTGTTAACACCAAGAGTCCAGCCAAGCCTTGGGGTCACAGGGATTGGTCCAAAGTAGGAAGTGTCCTGTGAGCTGGAGGGGTGTTTGACTTCTGCAGAACCTCCTGGATACGGTAGCTTCCTCTGCACTAGCTGGCTACCCCCTCATGGTGCAGATGGAATACTCTGGTGAAATGAACAAAAGATATGAAGCTAAATAACTGGGTTCAAATCGCACCTCTGCTTATTAGCTGACAGATCCTGGGTAAGTCACTTAACCTCCCCAAGGATCAGTTTTCTTACATATAGAATGAGAATACTAACATCCACTCTCTGGGCTGTGCTGAGGTTTAAATGAACGATGTACAGCAAAGAGCAAATGGTGGCTTTGATTAGTAGATGGTTTGAAGCAGCCAGGAAGGGGGAGGATAATAAAAGGAGACTGCTTGTCCCACAAAGACATTAGCAAGGGGTAGGAGTGGGTTCAGTGATGAGACAGCTTGCAAGGACTTGTGTAAATAGCCCATATGCTGGCTCTGGGGGAACACTGAGAACCTAGTTTGAAAAGCATAAAAGTCATAAAATAGCACGAGTATTTTTTTCCTTAGTGTGAGCAAAAATATTCAAGCAGACAAACCCAAGCCAATCTTCTGGGAATAAGACTCTAAATATTACTTGAGAGTCACCTCATCTTCCTTCCAAGAGAAAGACACCCCCATTCCTTCACCCCACACCCCCATCTATGACGCATTAGAATTGTAACTTTTCAGCTTCTCCCACCAAAATCATAGAGCCTCGTCGTGGGCTTGAGGACAACCCTGTGCTCTGTACTGTGTTTCCTCAGTTCAG